TCCCAGTAACACATTTCCAGGCGATCTAGTGCTGGCTTTCTTTTACCCATCTTTTTGATCACAGTTTGGTTCTGCTCATTTTTCGTCGTTTGAATTGGCTCCTTTTCTGACCTGTACACAGTTGAATCGCACTAGCATTTCAGATGGATGAGGAATCCGGTGAAAGGAAGCACGCGAAGGACGCACTTCTGCTGTGGTGCCAAAGGAAAACAGCTGGCTATGCGAACGTAAAAATTGAAAATTTCACCACTTCGTGGCGTAACGGCTTGGCATTTAACGCACTGATCCATGCCCACAGGTCAGTGGCTGAATTCAGCAATTTTTTTTTGTTTCGATCATTTACCCAGGTCTGATCAAAAGCTCCGAGAGTTCCGCATTAAACTGAATTTTCTGCCCTCAGGCTACGACGAAATTTACTGTTTGTGCTCTGTTCTTGGAAGCTGACTTGTTTATTTTGCGCGCTGCAGGCCGGATTTAATCAACTACGAGAGTTTGTCGGCGCAAGATTCGATTGGAAATTTGAATAATGCATTTGATGTGGCCGAGAAGAAGCTGGAGATCGCTCGCTTGCTTGACGCCGAGGATGTGAATGTTGCGCATCCAGACGAGAAATCTATCATAACATATGTCTCGCTCTACTACCACTATTTTGCGAAACAGAAATCGGAAATGACTGGTGCCAGAAGAGTTGCAAAGGTAGGGTTGTTGCGGCTAAATTTATTCATTGTAAAAAAAGTTATAAAATTCCTCAGAGTTATTGAAGAGCGAGTACTGGTGAGGGTTGAATTTGGATGAGCCGACGAGCGCTCGAGGACCTATCAGAAACAATCTTTACTTCGTTGAAAGTGCCGGCTCTCATTGTTCTTGGCCATTTCATCGTGCGGTTCCTTTAGTTAAGCCAAAATGAAAAATCTTTTTGTCATTCGGTTTGTATGAGAGGCGAGTGCACTCCGAATTATTCCAAATGATGGCATTTTCCAACAGAACTGATCCACTGACGGAGGTGTCGTTAGCTTCCTTTAATTTTTGTGGATTTAGCTGTCCAGTTATTGTTATTTTTAAAACCAGAATAATGCAAAATACGCAAAACCTTCTTCGCTCAGTGTTAAGTGCAAAGGCTTTTCTGGAACTGAAGTTTTTGTCGCATTTCAACTTCATGCAGATAAAAACGAATGAAGAGTTTATGTCAGTATTTACCCGAATATTTTAACTGCAGAACTAGAGAAACTGGAAAGCTGTAACCACAGCCTTTGATTGTTATGAAGCTCTAAGCGCGTATTCATTGTAAATCCGCTTCCGTTTTTCGGTGTCTCTGTACTGAGGCACAAATTTGGCAAAACTTGTGTCTCGAAAACTGAAAAAGTCATAAACAGGGACGTGGTGAAAGTTAATTTTTTAAAAACCCACTGTTATAACAGAACTCTCAGGGTTATTCTGAATTGCATGGGCCGGCACTGTGTGTTTCCCCTTTTTTCATAGCTATCTTTATTACAGATTGTTGGCAGTTTGATGTCCTCGGATCAGCTCCAAGAAGACTACGAAATGCTTTGTTCAGAGTTACTCCTTTGGATACAGAAAACCATTGCAATGTTGAACGATCGAAGATTTCCGAACTCCTTAAAAGGAATTCAGGACGAATTACTCTCGTTCAAAAATTACCGAACTGCAGAAAAACCACCGAAGTACGTTTTTTTCGCTCAGAATTTGCTGTCACCGAAAAAATCCTAAACGGGTTTTTTTGGAGTTACACTCTGCTTCAGGTACATTACTTTGTTCTTTTGTTTTTCCAGGTATAAGGAGAAGGGAGAATTGGAAGCTCTGTTCTTCACGATCCAAACGAAGAGAAAAGCTATGGGAAGGAAACCATATATTCCCAAACAAGGTGCTACTTTTTAGCAGTTCCAATTTTCTCAGGCGATAAAAATAGTGATAGAAGAAACCTGACTGATTCGGGTCAGGAGTCCTCTTGCTGCGCAGTACTGTCTTATTTGATGCCAATTTCCACCTTGCTGTTCGAGCTCGACCAGTATTTCTTCACTGATGATAGTGGTGGGTGCTATGGTGCTTGTCCTAGAGAGCGAGATGCAGTGGGAGTTTTGTATTGAGCTGCTGGTTGCGCCAATTTTGCTAATTCAAATTTGAGGCATTTTTGACTGGTCAGCATCGTGCACTCATTTTGTCCTGTATTATATTGCTTCTTAGAACAGAAGAATTGCCTGGATGCATCAGAGTTATTATATTCGGATCAGTTTGTGAGGTGCATGTTTTGTTTCAGGATTATTTATGCATGACATTGAGTCGGCCTGGGCTCATCTTGACCATTCTGAAAACGACAGACAACTGGCACTTATGTCCGAACTGCGCAGGTTTCCTTATGACTTTTTACTCTTCCCTCAGTACCAAATTGGCGAAAAAGTAAACTTCTGAAAGGAGAATTACTGCGCACCGCTGATTATGGCCACATCAGGAATCGGTCCCTGGCTTGCTGGATGGGGGATAGTGAAGCAACTGACTTCGAGGGGTTTTCAGCATTGTCGTAAACGCAGTTTTGTGGGTGAACCGGGCAAAAAAACGGGTGCCAAAGATATTTTTTACTCCAGAACTCTGTACGTGAGTGGTATTTTTTGCTCGGATTTGATTACAAGTATAATGTATGTACATGTAGAATTAGTGTTTGGTTTGTAGAGTTGGGTTGTTCCTTTGATCAGCTGCACTTCGTAGCATCTTTTTCCAGTTTTGTATTGTAGCTCTTAATTTTTCCGGTTGTTTTGGCCAGTGCTTTATTGTTGAGTGCGCGGCCTGCTGGCTGTTCGGGCGTTCTTTCTCTCTTCCGGCGGGGCTACCAGCTCAGCGGTTCCATCGGCAGCAAAAGCTTGGCAGGGCTTAGCCTGGATGTCATTAGCCTGGATGTCATCACTAGCTAGTCCCGAGTGTTGTCACTGCTGGACCACGGCAGGGTATCTTGTCAAGCTAGATGTGATAAACTGCACGCACATGGGCCAGCTCTAAGTGATCCATCACCTCACATTCATAACAGAGCGATGAGATAATGGCCGTGTCCCCGGTGATAAATACCGTGATGTGTAGCTGTGATGATTGGTTGCATTGATTAGGCCTCTTTTTATGCGTTTTGTGTTGTGTAACAGCAGTACAAAACGCATATTGTTACGGGGTTGTCTGTGT